ATTTGGCAAAAGAATAATTCTCGTCACTTACGCGCTGCTACGTTATGCGCTCCTAATTCACGCACTTAACGATCGCAAATTTCCACTACAAGAGCGACGCGCTTTCCCCTCATCCTCCTCATTTATCCCTCCCTCATCTTTATATCACCACCGAATTTCGATCTCCACCACATGTCTCTCTCTCTCTCTCTCTCTCTCTCTCTCTCTCTCTCTCTCTCTCTCTCTCTCTCTCTGTCTCTTCATCGGTCGCGCATTATGAAAGTGAATGCACAACCTTCGATCCATAAGATTGACTTTCCACCAGCGGTTCTCCGGATCATCGGGATCCTCTCGCTCTCTGCCGTCCGCGCGAATCTTAGCGGCTAACTGCCAGATTGGATGCGCTCGCTTTAGTAGCAATTTGAATTTGACATATGCATTTTTCATCTCTTTGCGCCTCTCGCTTTATTTTGCGAAAGCGTACGTGGCCGTACGAACTTGTGCCGATGAAAACGAATCGAAGTTGCGAGTTTATGTTCGGATGAGATATTCGAGTCCGGAAGGGAATTACCTTAAACGTTCGTATCTGCACACACAGCCTGGCGAATTCGTTTATTATATTTGCCTTCGACTTCGACATCATACTCCTAATTATTGTTTTTTTTTTTTTTTTTTTTTCATTGAATCTCCGCGCTGAACGACTTTACGCAAATATTTTTTGTATTTGTCATGCCTCTATAAATCACGAGATACCCGCGCTAAAATCTTTATATCGGGCTACAATTGGAATACATAAGAAAATGCTCCTATTTTATTTTCTCTATATATTTCCCACTTTTCCCCCTTCATTGGGATTGAACATGACAGTTAATGCGAAAAATTGTCATAATAATAAATAATCGTAATCGTATCATAAAGAGATACCGAGGGGGTTGTCAGATCAATTAACATTGTAATTATCTCGACTGATAATTATAAATGACCCTGTTGTATCATGTCATAAAAAGCTTTTGGTAGCTGAAATTACACGCGCACACGGTACTTTTTATAATTCGTTAATCGCATATCATTAATTCAAGTGCGTCTCAGCGATAATAATGTATAATACAGTAGTGTATATAACTTGAGCGCGAAACTACTTTAGGCTACGAACAATGCTGGGCAAAACCGCAAATATCAAGCTACGTTTCAACAACAACAGAATTTTCTTGAATAAACGGTGGTAATATGCGAGTGTGGTGAGATTACACATTACGTCGACGTGTAGGTAATGTAAAATAAGAGGCATCGTCGACTTCCCCGACCACAATCTAGGCAAAAGTTGCAGGACCAAAGAACAAGAAATACGTAATAATTTAAATATTACATTACGAGAAAATGCATCGAATCTAATGTGCATATCGATCAAAACTTGATCATTACAACATAAACAAGTTTTGTGAGGCGATGAATAGAACATATCGATAATTATTACGAAGTTTAATTTCCACTATTTACCTTAAAAGAAACAAATTTTTATTTCTGATTATATTTTACAAATTTTATATATTCATATATTTACATATTTGTACGGTGATGAAATATAAGATATTTAGAATTCTTAATCGAAATAAAATAAAAACACTTGATTTATTTTAGATGAAATCAAACAAATATTCTAAGATTTAAAAGATTTTAAAAAAAAAAAAAAAAAAAAAAAAAACAAATGAAAAATTGCACTACACTATTATAAAAAATTGTACTATAATATTAGCAATTTATTTATTGATAGTAAAAGCTTAAAATTTTCTTTAGCAAGGACTATTTTATATATTAATATCGGTTCCTTACATACATATGCATTGCGCGTAAAATCCAAAATTATATGTGTATGGTTAGATAAATGGTAGGGAAATATTTTGAATATCTCATTTCATAGCTCAACTACGACTAACAAGAATTTCCAAAATATTATAAGATAATACCTTGTAAATATTTCGTAAGCAAATTTAAAAGGCCACGAAACTCAAATGAAATGTAAATGAAAAATATACCATAAAATACCAATCCAAAACGGGTTTCCTATCGTTTATGAATGATATATATTTTTCTTTTTCGATATGTAATTTATATTTGAAAAAAAAAAAAAAAAGAAAAAAAAAAAAAGAGAGAGAGATTATGACAATTTATATGAGTTTTACTAAATACATGCAATATAATCTGAATAGAATAAACAATAATAAATGATATATATATATATATATATATATATATGATAAATGTATCATTTAATTATGACTAATAATGAAATTATGATAAGATTATAAATCGATATTCATTCTGACTAAAAAATTATAAATAACTTAAAAGTGTAACATTCATTGTAAATTTTGAAAGTCCACTTATTACAAAATTATAATTTCATTTTAAATCTTCTATTACGTATACATAATAATTTATTCGAAAACGTACACAAAAAATAGTAAAGGATCCTGCTATGGCATAAAATATACATAATTCATCTTATTTCCGACTTCATAGATTTTTATCTAATTTAGAACATAATACGAAATCTTCTATTCTATTTTAATTTAATTATTTAATTATTTAATTTCTATTTTACTACAAGTTTTAACAAAACATATTATTATCATATTATCTTATATTATTATTATTATTATTATTATTATTATTATTATTATTTAAAACATATCTTACGATTTTACAATTAATTAGTAGTCATTTTACAATAATTAGTACATACTGATTATCCATAAAAATATAAACTTTTATTAACTTAATTCATTTCAACGTATAATTTCCTAATATAAAATAATAATAATCCTCTAACATTCAAGAAAATGAAAGGTTAATAAAATTAAGTTCAAAGGAATAAAATTTTTTATTGATAAATAAACTGAAATAAAATTTTATATATATTTTTGTAGAACATTTTTAAGTGTCAAAAGAATCTTAAATAAAATTGCCAATCTCGCGAAACACTTTTCATTAATTTTTTAAAGCATTTACACTCGATAAATTAGAGAGATTAACTTTTCATAATTATTATTATTATTATTATTATTATTATTATTATTATTATTATTATTATTATTATTATTATTATTAATGAAATTTAACAAATTAAATCACAACAAATAATAAAAAATAAAAAATAAAAAATAATACAAGATCATTTTACGTAAAGAAAATTATTAAAATTTTTCACGGCAGATATTCCTACAGGACGTACCCATATATGTATGTATGTATTTTTTTCTTCTTCTTTTTTTCTTTTTTTTTTCTTATTTTTTTTTTTTTTTTTTCCCCTAAAGTTCTCGCATTATAATTATACGATTGGTAGAATTAGATACTACTTAATGTCATACCCAATGTGATTCACAACCATCTGAAAAGGTATTTCCTGAATGTAACAGGCAAAATAACACATAAATGATTGTAAATTTACATAAAATTTTACGTATTAAAATTCACAGTTGCTACATTTTATGAAGACCTATTAATAATTTTAAATCATTTTTAATAATTAATCTATGATTCAGATGTAAGAATAGATATTATTTGAATTATTTGAATAACCAATCTGCCGTATATAATAATCGATGTTTAAATATTCACCAATGAAATCTAATGTAACAATCATTTCTATACAACAATCTGAATTAAATCATTATTTTGTAATAAGAGTTTACAAAATAATGATTAAATTATGAAACTTTCATTTTCTTTTTTTTTTCTTAAATAATTATCGTAGAATGAAATTTTATGTTTTTCAAAAGTCTAGTATAATATCTAGACAATCGTATTTATTAAATAATTAGTTAGTACAATTATTTGCTAATTGCGAGAATTAACTCGCTTAAGTATGAAGTATTTGATGTTGAAAACCAATACATTTTTTAATTACATAGGAAAAATTTAATCTCTACTATTTCACATCGTAATTAATAGTTTATTGTTATCGTTTACTTTAACAGTTTACATCGGTATTTATCAATTGATTCAAGTACATTTAAATCGATAAGAAAAATGATTTTAATGCAGAGAGTACTTATATTATTCATCCCAATATTATGTGCATAATAAAACGTCTACATGTAGAATTTAACATATTTTTATCAAATTAAAAATTTGTATTTAGGATATGAAAGTCGGTAGCGTAATTCAACTGTTAAAAACTTCCAAATAAACACTTCACCCGCTCCTCCTCCTCCCCCCCCCCCCCCCCCCCCCCCCCCCCCCCCCCCCCCCCCCCCCCCCCCCCCCCCCCCCCCCCCCCCCCCCCCCCCCCCCCCCCCCCCCCCCCCCCCCCCCCCCCCCCCCCCCCCCCCCCCCCCCCCCCCCCCCCCCCCCCCCCCCCCCCCCCCCCCCCCCCCCCCCCCCCCCCCCCCCCCCCCCCCCCCCCCCCCCCCCCCCCCCCCCCCCCCTGTCTCCGCGCCCCCCCCGCCCCCCCCCCCCTTGCAGCGCCGTCATACAAGTAATCTAGAAATTTCAAATCTCATGAACTATAAGCTATTATTATCTCAACGGCGACGATGAAAGAAACAAAAAACAAACAAACCAACAAACAAACAAAAACAAAAACAAAACCAATCTACCCGAGGCCCAAAGTCTCCTATTATCCCTTTTGACATTAAGTCCGCAACAATACCAGTCAAGGACGGATTTATGAATTAGACCGCGTCGTTAGAGACGTCCCGATGACATCCGCGTAAGTAGCAATGCAGCGGTCCTGGAATATAAGAGTCAGGATAATGGGATAGTATATGGGCCGCGGCCAGGAAGACCGTGATTCTTCCTCGTCGCCGGTGCTCGTCGAAGCCTCTCGGGCACGATTGCGAGAGGGCAGGACGACGCGTCGGGTAGGCGAAGGTGCCCCGGCCCAAAGCCGCTCGAAGGTCAGATACAAAGTCGTGGGCGCGCGTGCGTTAGCGGCCGCAACATCGCGGATGGCCCAGAAGGTGAGAGCGCCGAGATTTTTCGGCAGTAGGAGAGCCCCCCCGGTATAAAACAAGCCGGTCTTCCAAATAACGACATTCAGTTCTCGTGCTCGCCAGTAGTTCGGACCGAGTCGCCTCTTCACACATCCGAATCTCCAAATTAAACATGAAGTCGGTACGTAGCATTATAACTGCGCGCTCCTCAGCTCCACTATTATTATCTCGCTCTCTTGCTTTCTCATTACCTTCCATTTTATTTCTTGTACTTTACTTTCTCTAATCGATCGCTTTGTAAATTTCGACGGTAGCACAAAATTATCGGTGTCCAGTCAGTGCTGACCGATTGATAACCTTTTATCATTTGATCAACGGTAATTCGAGTTCACTTTACTTTTCTTAACGGTTGCATGTAAAGTGCTCATATAAAGTTGAGATTATGTTTCTTTCTCTCGAGAAATGGCATAACAGACCAACGGCTAGAATCAACTGACGAAATCGTGTATAAATGAAATACGATCGTTACTAAATTTCTATTGTCAATGGCTTTCAGAGTTCTTTGCTCTCTCCGTTAGCACCGTACTCACAATACCCAAGTGGAAAAAATCAATAGTTGATACTAAGAATAATAAGGATAAGGCACAAAATAATTTCATTAACTTATACGTAACTTGCACGATATGACGTATAATTATTGACTTGAATTAACTGTCACGCTAATTAATAAATAAATAAAGCATTTGACTATACGAGACTCCCATCGGCCAACAAGCTTCCAAGTGCACAAGTATTCTGATACTTTTACGATGGAATTATAGTTCGCAATTTTCCTGGGCCTCGTCGCCATCGTCTTCGCCGCACCCCAACGAAGAACAGTAAATCAACCGGAAGTTGTGCTGGTGAAGGAAACGCCATCGGACAACATCGGCCTCGACGGCTACAAGTTCGCATACGAGCTGAGCGACGGCTCGACGCGAGAGGAGTCCGCCCAGGTCGAGACCCGAGGTGTCGAGGATGCCGTACTCCGGGTGCGAGGCTCCTACAGCTGGGTTAACCCCGAGGACGGACAGGTGTACACCGTCACTTACATCGCCGACGAAAACGGATTCCAGCCCCAAGGCGCCCACCTACCCGTAGCTTAGTCCTATCGTTTAAATATTTAGTTCCTACATTGTTATTTTTAATAATAAAAAAAGCAACTTTTTTTTTACCAAAGAAGCAAGTGCGTGTTTGAATTATTGACCTTTCTCATTTCAACACATTGTTAATTGGCTAAACTCGTCGATAAAAAAATAGACTTAAAGAAATTCATAAAAGTATGAATGTTTATTATTAACAATAGTACAAGTTAATAAGATCCTTAAATTGCTTTATATTACTATTACGAAATATTATGAATTTTTTTAACTAAAAATTTATATTAATCATATATATATATATATATATATATATATATATATATATATATAACTACTCGTTATTGAGGATAAAGATGTTTCATTTAATAAATAACTTCAGAAAATAGGTTAATTCAGACTCTCTTGATATTTCAATGTCTTAAAAATATATTTTTAAAGAGCTTATTAGAATAATCATGTTTGCATCATCCTCGTTAAAGTTATTCAAGAAATTTATAAACACAAAAAAAAACATTTATATTCAGTGGACTTTGTTTCAATAAAAATTACATTTTATTATAATATATCCCCGACTACGATTATATATTATAAAGTTTGATATGTAAATAGGATTGAAGTATAATTTCATAAATAATATTAGACGCTTTAAATTTAATTATCTTACTTGATTTTCTTAATCATGCAATTATATAAAAAATTTTCATGTTAAATATTTATTATATAATATTCATAATTCATTTTTTCTACCTAATTTCTTTTCCCTAGCTCATAATTTATGAGGTTATTTTTTTTTTTTAAACTTTTTATCGTTTTTAGTATAATAATATATTGCGAATGATTGACATCTGCAATGAGCGTTATGTGAAAAAGAAAATAATTGTATGAATTTATATAAAATTATTAATAATTTTCGAATGCATCTTCAATTCACATCATTATTACATTCATATTTGGCTGCATTTTTTAAATACAAAGCAGAAATTTTACAGATTTAAATATAATTTTATAAAATTAATTATCTAACAATAATATATAGAATTATCTCTGTCTCCTTAAGCTTAAGCATAAGCACAAGCTCGAGCTTCGCGGTCGTTGTCGTCCAAAAAATTCAGTAACAAACAGTAAAATAAATAATGGAATATATTATTACAAATCTGAGTGTATGTAAAAATCTTTTATTATTTATATTTTGAATTCGTATATCTAAAAAGACTATTAAAATCTTAAAGTTCAGTGATTACAATACATCTAAAAATTATTATAAATTAATATTCTGAAATCTTTATAATTACTACATAATTATTACATTATTTTCAATTGCAGTGGATAATATTTTTAAAATTAAAAATTTTATAATCGCTTCATTAAATTTGAATTTGGCTTAATTTGAAATTAATACGCACAACGATAATTCTAAAAGCATTGAGTATGAAACAATAATTTGCATTTTTATTGTAATAACGATGCTGGAATTATTTATTACAAACTAGTCTTATTATTAAGAAAATTATTAAGAACAGTAGATAAATGAATAATGTTTACATATATTAAACACAGAGTCAATAGAGTTATCTACTAATAGAGATCTACTTCGGATTAAAATTGATGCTTTATGTGCTCTACAATTCAATATATAATTATACATTTATTGATTTATATTCATGTTTATATTATTTTTAATCATTTTTATATCATGGAATTCTTATATCATACCTCAATACCATAATATGTATTATATAGGACAATTTAATATTTAAGTAAATTTTTATAACTCCGTGTGATTTAGCCTATGGAAGAAAAAAATTTGTTATTTATTAATTAAATTTAAACGATGATGTTATGAGAATATAAAATAAGCATAGAACATATCAAATATACAATATATAAGAAAATTCACATTCATGCCAATATTTACACAAAAAATTATGAATTCATCTTATTATAAAAGTAGGATTAGTCATAAAAATTTAGAATATATTTTATGAATAATTTTATATTTCCAATGCATATTTATAAAATAAAAATCTCTTTTTTAATAATATTCTATATGATTTATACCCAATCGTACAGTTAAATTCAATTACTTATAAAATTTATCATTATAAACCTTATAGCCGGTTATCATTATTGATCTTTATTAATTATAAAAATTCAGAAAGAGAAAACTTTAAATTTTTACAAAATATCCTAATGCTTTGGATATAAAAATGACGGGTTTAACTTCAATCATTACTACTATCATTATAGTAGAATTTAAAATTATAAAATCTTAAACGTAGTAATAGAAATTATCTATGATTTTCCACTACTATGTTTCTGCGTTAAAAAAAAAATGGAATGAGACGTATGTATTATTCATATAATTAAAATGTTTCGTTAAAAATATTAATGATTTTTTTAAGGATTTGCGCTTTAAAATGAAAATCTATAATTGTAATGCATATCTTAAATAAAAAAAAAAAAAAAAAAAAAAGTTCATCACCAACATCACGAAATAATGTATAATTAATCTGAGAATAATTTACCTTTATCGTTAAATTATAATATTACGAAGCTGTAAATGGCTCTTTAAATTTCTTGAACTTTATCTTCAAATGTTATGTTCTTCTAATGTATCTTCAATTTTCAAATATTTTATATATAAATAAGAGTTTTGTACACTGCAGTATAAAAATTATTTAATAATAATTTATAAAATTACATATGGTATTTATTAATCACTTAATCGGCGTATAGATTTAATTTATTTTTATGCAATAAGATTACATTAGTATTTAGCATGCGCAGCAGATTATTGCACTTAAAAATTATTATGATGAATAAATATTGAAATCATTAATCTATTAAATGCTACTATAATATTTACCTTGAATCTTTAAACTTTATATTTTTGCCATATATAATTAATATTCAATATAATAATATTTGTATAAATATTTAAAATGCTACTAGCATAAGAATAATTGAAATAAAAGAACAAAAATATCCAAAGTTGGACTGACTTAAAATTGCTTTACAACATTCATCATTTAGATTATTAATCATAATTCCACTTGCATGTAATTATAATTGTTCTTAAAATGAATTCATTAAATGATTATATTTAATATTTTCATTAAACTTATAGGTAAAATAATATAACCAGTTGATTAGAATTTATTTTGTCATATAAAATTTACGTAATTATTTTATTTATTATCTATTATGTTTAAATAGGAAATTATATAAATAAGCCTTAAGTGATATTTAGAAAAAGAAGAAAGAATAAAATTTCTTCTTCAAAATCTTTCGAAAGCTCTTGGCTATAGCTCCTGGCAGGCTTCATAGTCTCCATTCATTAACAGAAAATTACGATCATTTTACCGATAAATTCGCAAAAATATTTGAATCCCGAAAGACATCAATTTATTATATTTATACGTTAATGAAAAACTTTCGTGCACAAATGCATATCGAGCCTCAGCTCATCATTAGCTAAATGATTTTATAAACGATTGTAATTGCATATAAAATAATAATCACAATACACCTGGCTGGAATGCGTCAAAATATTACGCAAGTATAATTATGATGTACCGATTTAGCTGTTAACAAGTCGTGCCAACGATAAAAACGTCGAGCGGCGTAGGAGTCGGAGGACGATTACGCACGCAATCGCGAATAGTCTAGTGAGGCGACGCACACCGAAGGTCAGAAAAACATTTAGCATAGTCCGAGATGAGGACGAGCCAAAACTTAACGATGAAAGTGGTGAACGGCAAGGGAAAAGTGTGCGCGCCAATAGACAGGACGGTTTTTTTTTTTTTTTTTTTGTTCGTTGATGATAGCCTCTGATCCCGAGGAGTCCGAGTATAAAATAAGCCCGACTTACATCCATTGCGTTCAGTTACCAACTATCATTCTCCGATTCAGAACATCTCACGAAGAATCAGTATCGGATAAAGATGAAGATGGTACGTAATTGCTTGATTGAAAAGTACACCTCGCGATTCGATTAAAGTCGTCCTTTAGTGATTCTCTTTGGCTTATGAGCTGATGCTGAAAAGCCGACGCAGAAGAGGTTCGATCGATTGCAAAGGACGAATTTGTTCAAAAACACAAAAGCAACGATCTAATGATACAGTCGAGTGTTTCGTAATTTTTTTTTTTTTTTTTTTTTTTTTTTTTTTCAATAGCGAGAATTGCGATAGAATATAAAGTCTTGTATGAAAATATTTTCAAAGGCTGCCAAAAATCTTTTGAAAAATTATTAATTTATAAATTAAATTAGTATTATATTGATAAAATTGGTTTAAATTAGAACAAATATAAAACTCTATAAAATTGAAAATCATTTTAATTTTGTATTGGAAATAATATTCATAAATGGAAATTTTCAACAAAAATATATTTTACTGAATATATCATTAACTGAAATAAAAGAAGATATAATTAATTAATTGATAACTATTTTTAATTAAAAAAGTAATATCGTTGCATGATTATATCTTATTAATCACGACAGATAAGCGGTAAACTTTTATTTTATAAATTTGATTAAAAACATAGAAGCTTCGCTGCAATTGATCAAATACAAAATTAAAGTTGCTGTGCAAAATGGCAATGAATTAAAAAAATTATTATTATAATTTCAGATCGCGATTTTCCTGGGCCTCGTCGCCATCGCCTTCGCCGCACCCCAACGAAGAGCAGTTAATCAAGCGGAAGTTGTGCTAGTGCAGGAAACGCCATCGGACAACATCGGCCTCGACGGCTACAAGTTCGCATACGAGCTGAGCGACGGCTCGACGCGAGAGGAGTCCGCCCAGGTCGAGACCCGAGGTGTCGAGGATGCCGTACTCCGGGTGCGAGGCTCCTACAGCTGGGTTAACCCCGAGGACGGACAGGTGTACACCGTCACTTACATCGCCGACGAAAACGGATTCCAGCCTCAAGGCGCCCACTTACCTAAGGCACCTTAAATTATAATAGTCCATTATTTAATAAAAATTTTATTATAAAATTAGAATGTTTTATTAATTCTTATCTCCTATCTTATCATAATACTACACATATTATTTCAATAAGTAAATAATAAGGAATGAATTTGGTTTTGTTTTAATACTTTTATACTCAATTACATGAACGGCATACAGATTTACATGTATGGTGTACATACTTGTTACGCAATATATGACATATAATTCATACACGAGTAAACATTTACCATACTTCAGAGAATATATGGTAATTATCAAATTTTAAAATATCTTTCTAATACTTAAATTCATTCTTCTCTCTAATTCCAAATTGACAAATGTAAGAAAATATGAGATACTGTATGTGCATATTGAAAATAATGAAATAATGAACTTTAAAGATAATACATTACTTTAAAGCACTATTCTGAAAATTTATTTTCTCCGAAGCATTTATTGTCATAAATCGAAAATGTATATAAAATATCAAGTTCATAAGGTTAATAAGGTTATGTAAATTGTTTTTTGAACATAAAATATGAAAATTATTTTTGCTAATGCGATAATATACATAATTTGTCTCACCAGATACGTAAACGCTGAGGAAAAGTTTATAAAATAAATGTGTTAAAGTTTTATAATTTGTCAAAGAATTATGTCAATTTTCACAACTAATATTACGTACTATTCTTATCGTTTCTCTTTTTTATTTATATAAAGACGATTCCCTTACAATCTAATGTTTAACTCATGAGTAGTACAAGGTATTTTAAAAGCTCACATTCGGATAAATCCTCTTATATATATAATAATATAAATTATTTTATAATACCAACTATATTATACTCTATAATCTACTGCAAAATAAAAGTAATTTCTTTATGAGAAGAGGAAAATTAATTTTTTTTTTTTTTTTTTTTTTTTTTACTATTCATTTATTGCCTTCTATCTCTGAATAATAATCTTATATTTAAAAAAGGACTAAAATATTTATTAAACACAGGTTAACTCTCGTTAAAAATACTGTATTATATAAGTATAAATAAATCATTTTACTAGCAATAAATCAAATGAAAGTACTCATAATAATAATAATAATAATAATATTATTATTATTATCTTATAATTATTTAGAAACAATCACTGATGTTTGAAAAATTTTCTGTTTAACCAACATCGAAAGCTCGTATTTCGGGTTTAAAACCCATCTGACTAATTTATTATATCGACTAAAAATATCTTCATAAATTGAATCTATTCATAAATTGTGAATCCTTTCAGAAAATATCTTCTTTAGAAAATAAATCACAATACATAATTAATCGTAAGACATTAAAAGGTCATCAATAGTAAAAGAAAATTGGAAAACTTTAATATAAAGTAAATTTCACTTTTTATCGTATAATATCCAAGTTTAATTATCAAATGAATTGAGTACTTTTCAAAGATAATACTTTTACGTAACATTAACTCACAGTTTTATAGAGAATTATGTCACATTTACTATAATATTTTAATCAAAATTCTTTTATATAATAATCACTAATAATGCAAATATAATAATATCAACTATGTTAAAATATAGTATTATATATAAAATCTATTTGTTCAAATGAAAATATTAAAAATGTAATATGAGTGTAATGTAAAATGTAAGTATAATGTAAAAACTTTAATTTCAGGATCAAAAATTAAAAATGAATTTTAGTTAAGGTAATATGGAAGAAATAAACAATGTGCTATTAATAATTATAAAAATTATCACCCTTTTATGAAAGAATTTTTTCATTCAAATCAACTATCAGAAATTAATCTAAAATGTAGAATTCTTAATATTTATAGGAAAATGAAAATGATTACGTGATGTAAATTTCATAATGTTAATTTTTCGCATCTTACTCAACGTAGTAAATAGTATTAAACAAAATCAACGTCTATTGCTTAATATGAGAATGTTATGTATTACTCGGGACTAAAGAGAAAAATATTTAAAAATAATGCTGATTAAGATTTATTTTATTTTAAAATAAATTTTTATATCACGTAAACTTCCTTATTTATGGTAAAATAAAATTATGTGTTTGTATATATATATATATATATATATATATATATATATATATATATATATATATACTTGCAAAGAAACAATGTTTTATTATTATGAAAAAATATATTTAAAATATTAATAATTGGTACATAATTGAATCACGTTATATAAAGAGATGAGTCAAAAATAGCCTAGAAATTGAAAGTCACAAAAGAAAAAATAAATATAATAATATATTCATAAATAATATCAATAGAGTATAGAGCAGTTGTGAAGAAAGACTAAATTTATTAGAAATGTAATAAGTAAAACAAGCACTTACTCTCCATTTGACAATTAGATTAAAATTATACATAATAAGCTAATGTTGACAATATTTATAAAATTTCATACAAATCATAATTTTCTAACCATGTAAATAAATGAAAAGTTAATTTTAAATCCTAGCATAAATTGATGACGAAAATATATTGTATTTATTGACATACACCAGCAGATCAATGTTGATAAAGTTTGCTGTACTGAAAAGCAGTGCTTATCTTATGGTATAAAAATGGTTGTGATATTCTATGTTGAACATATATATATATATATATATATATATATATATATATATTAGTTACATTATTATTATAATTTTATAGTCTACGTCATTTACAGTTAATCGAGATATTAGCTAATGATTCTATCCCTTCGTTAGATACGCATCCACATATTTATACACATATATTAGGATGTAATTAATAGACATCATAATTATAATATATATTAATAAAATTTAGTGGTAACTTTAAAATATGCATTTTTGAAAAATTTTTTATTCATTCAATAGACAAAAATAATGTTTTGGACATAAGTTTGATGTTCGATGTAGTGAAATTCAAAGAAAAATCAGATTTATGATTTTTGGAGAGATTACAAATATAAATAATTATCGTAAAATATTTTATACAAAGTAATTTTAATTTTCCATAATGTACAATACATTTATTGTCATTTATCACAATCTAATAAACAACTCATTTAAAAATGAAACACAATGTTTTAAGGAATAATTTATTCTAAATAGTGTCAATATATAGATTTTTGGATAATAATTATGGAAAATATACACTCTGGAACCTTATTTTAAACTATTAAAATATCAAATTAAAAATGGAAATAATCAAAAACGTTGTAATATTAAAATTATTAATATTTTTAAATATTTAATAGAATATTTGTTCTGCTAATATATATATATATATATATATATATATATATATATATAATTAAACATTAATAATTACAAACATTTATGTAGATATCATTTATTATTAGTGATATACATTATGTATTCAGTATTATTATTCATAAAAACTTTATAATCTACATCATTTTATGTTAATTGAAAAAATTAAGCTTATAATTATATCTATTTATTAAACATTTTATCTAAAGTATTTTGTAAATAATGAGTACAATTGTAAGTAAATTCATCGAAAATATACAAATAGTTGTAATAAAAATTTATTTATTAGTCAAGATACTTTTAATCGTCAATCAATATTTACGTCTTTTGATATATTTATATTTCATTTAATAAAGTAGATTCAATAAATATTTATGACATTCGATATTAACCTAAATATCTAAATAAATATTTTTGCAAAATATAATTTAAATCATCATTATCGGCACGGATATATAAAATATTGAACCACGTTTCAAACAAATCTACCAGTAATCTGTAATAAGATATTTATACTGTCAATCATAACAAATATTAGATATTTTAAAAGCGTACATAAAAATTATAAATATCTTTTTCATTTCGATAATATAAATTAGTTTAATACTACGCTCATAAGCGAGAAGAATAGTTGTATGGATCATTTACCTATATTATATCAAGCTTATGTGGCTGTCTTGTTATGAATTTGTAAAAAATAATAAAAATTTCCGTTTATATAAACTTTAAAATATCTTCAGTTCTATAAAGTTTGAATTATTACGTTTATTCATAACTGAGAATAATGAATGATTTATTGGTATAGAAGTAAAAAATCATCAGAATCCTGGACATCTGTAGGCTCGGTTGAATTATTTTTTAAATGGTCTCTTACACCTTTAAAAATTATAATGAATTAAGATTTTATTCTACATTTTACTTACTTGTATTAATATTAATTATAATAAAGAGAATTTTTTTCAAAATCATTATATACCGTTCTTTAAAATTTAAACATATATATATATATATATATATAAATAAAAATAAAATGTTTTTATTAAATGCAAAACTTACTCAATAATATAAAACTGACTGCTATAATGATAACAACTATAACACTACAAATTCCACATGAAACAATGTAAATAATTTTTAATAACTTCATTTTGGAAATCCAAAAAACTTAAAATCATACTTTTAATTTAAAATTAAATAATTATTTTCTTATGCGATGTAATTAATACACTTAAAGCAAGTCGACTGATTGACAATTGTGCTCGATATTCAATATCTGATACGACGTAGAAATACTTTCATCCCAATTATCGCATTACTGATAAGACACTTGCATCTATATTTGTATAAAATGGTAAACTTCGAATACAGCAGATAGTTAATATATAAAAATCTACATTTTGTATTGATTGATATTGATATTGTATATGTATACTGTAGCATATAAATATTTCTATGATAGTCACAATAGATGAAATGACTAAAAAACAAATAATAATATTATAAAAAGTATATATAGAAAACAACATTATTCGTAAAATGTTTTTATTTTCTTAAACTAATAGTTCGTCAAAATATTCATTATTAAAAGAATGTTATAAGATAAAAGTTTTATATAAAATTTTTATATTATTTATAGAAATATTATTTTTCTATAATTAAAACAGAACTAAAACAGAGTCATGAAATTTAATCACCAACATGTTGCAATGATATTGAAAAAATATAAAATTGAAAAATAATATTTGAGAATAGTTCCTTTCTAATATATATCTTAATGTACTAAAGCTATTTATTATTTTAACAATATCTTAAGTATTTCAAGTCTGTAAATATGAACTTAAAATTGAACTTTATAAAATAAAAGTTATACAAGATTAAATTCTAATTATCATAAAAAAATTACAATAAAATAAAAAAATACAAGAAAGTTCAGTTTGGAAATTACTAATTTGAATTTATAATTAATAATTCAGAATTAATACGTTTTTTTCTTTCAATTTTTAGTTTTATTTACTTTAGTCTTAAAAATATCTTAAAATATCTTAAAAATCTTAAAAAATAATATAATGTTTGAATTAATAATAATAATATAGTATTGAATTTTCATATTTGTAAGATTCATTTATTAATACAAAGCTCTTAAAATTTCCTAATAGACTATAAAATTAGTTAAATAAACATAACATAAACAAGTATCAAAAAGATTTTCTTTATATTAAGTGTTAAGAATATTAATGATTTTTACACAATGCGCTTTGTTTTTCATTTGCTCATCATAAGAACTTAAATATAGATAGATAGTACATTAAATATAATTTGATGTTAGATTTTCCATTTATTGGAATTAAATTTACAATATATAATAAATATTATTGTCGGTAATAACATTTCTAATAAAATGTTGAAACAAGGAACCTTTGATAAAGGAAATTATTAGTATTTATTAAGATCCTAAGCATAGTGATGAGCTACTCTAACGTCCCAAGTTGCTGTCATTGTTCGCATAACCTGGTTTAACATACCGAATATTTCAAATAATTGTAATATAACTGATTCATTAAGATAAAATTGAAAAAATAAATGTTACACGCATAATAAGTCTTACAAAGTTTTGCAGTCACAAACGGTATTCGATCAATATATCTACAATTTATTTTGTCTAAAATTACTTTTAATTCCTAAACAACAACAAAATAAGCTATATAAAAATAATAATTATAATAACTACGAAACTGTTAAATAAAGTTTATGTAATAAATATTTTATTAAATGATATTTACTACAGAACTTTATTATAATATATTATAAATATTTATTATAAACATAATTATTGCTTTTAACACTCATTTTAACGGGCAGCAATAATATTTTTATATAGACTTAATATTTTATACTTTAAAAAGTTAGTAATGAATAATAAATGAAAGGTTATATATCAATATATAATATATATTATAATATTGTATATAATATTATATGTAATACATTTAATGTTATATGGCATAAAAAAATTGTTTATAAATTCTAAATTATTTTACAAATCTTTTGAATTAAAGTCAACATATATATGAATCGTTAAATAGTAATTACTTTTATATTTAATAAAAATCTCTGAAATACTAATTTATAAAAATAAAGAAATGTTGGCGTTTTCAAATAAATGATAATTTTATGTACGATATATGCATATATATGCATATATATGCATATATATGCATATATATATATATATATATATATATATGCATATATATGCATATATATGCATATATGTGAAGGTGTGTGTGTTTCTTGTTTATTGTGTTATATTTATGTCTTCGTTAAAATTTAATCAAATTTAAACGGATATTTCATTTTTTTATTACTTTTATCTTTTATCAGTCACTGGTTGAATAAAAATAAAGTGAGCATATAATTAAATATTACCAGTCACAGTACGTCAATGTTTTGAACGTTTTGGAAACCTTTTGGAAAGACATTTTCTTTCATATTAAATAATTATAAATTACGTAAATTAATAAATACCATACTAATATACGACATACGGAGAAATCAATTTAATTTCATATGCAATTATATATGCAGATATATATATATATATATATATATAGGTTAATAGAAGAATCGATATTTTAACATGGTTCTGATAAAATTATCATTAAATTAATAATTATTATTTTTTTTTTTAATATATAATAAATAATAATAATATAATATAATAGACTATCAGTTTTCAATAGTTTTAATTAAAAATTAATTTTCTCATCCTATAATCATCATAATTACGTATAACGTCATTTGTCAGAGAATTTTTGAATAATTTTATATTCATACAGTACATTGATATAATATATATCTAATTATAAAGGAAATATTCAACATAAAAAATTATACAAGTAAGTATTGAGCTATTACCGAGTATCTGCATGCGTAATATTACTTACATTAGCTTATTTTGCGATATCAATTATGCTAAGGTTGCTGTTAAATTTGCCAAATGTAACTTAAGAGGAAGTTATTAAAGTATAATTTTTTAATTTTATATAACAACACTTTATTTAACACTTTACCATAAATACACGTATGATGAACTTTCAATCTTATATGCAAATTTCGATTATATCTAATGCATGATTTACTTATTAGACCTCCCACAATGGAGTAAATTAAAATTCGTTTATTCTATATTGCTTAATCTATCTACAATGTTATAAATAATCTGAAACAGCTTAATAATATATCATTGCCATACGCCTTAACATTTGTTTGCTCATTTAAAAAGCGATCAGCATCCAACCCTGCCATCTACTATCCGTCATAACAACTATGGATTCAACAGCTGACACGTCAAATAGTAAAGTAACATTTAAAGTGGAAACGTGAATATATCTTGGCTTATCCATCGGCGAATCATACAATATGTTTATATTCCGCTCCCGTAACTTTAAAATAATAATTTTGAAAGTTTAACGCAGAAAATATAACATGATTGGTCTTTCTGCACCATGGGCTCTTCTCACAGAAGTTAATAAATCACCGATAACAATTTTAATATTTTATATCCAGAAATGAGGTTAAGTTTTGTCGAAAATTCATATTGAACGTTTATGTGTGTGTTTCAGGCATTTCTTCAACTGTCATAGGAACAGAATTAGTGTATACTTATAAAAATGCCTCGACTAACTATGTTACCGCGGACCTCGCGTATCGTAGCTTTATGCTCTACAGCAAATTTCATCAATGCTGCCGACAGAGTCATAATGCCCATTGCAATAGTACCAATGACCGATGAGTTTAAGTGGAATCTACACTGGCAAGGATGGATCCTTTCCGCATTTGCTTTCGGTTATTTTACAAGCCAAGTAAATATTATTATTGAAAAACAATTACAAAATTGTAGATCGTCAATGTATAACAAATTGCACGATTTCTAGATTATTGGAGCGAGTACAGCTAATCGTTTTGGTTGTAAAACTGTTCTAATGGTTGCTGTATTGCTTTGGTCAATTAGCACTGTCATAACACCACTTTTAGCACAATCTATTCCACTACTTATAATAACTAGGGTCATTCTTGGCCTCGGCGAGGGTCTAGGTAAAAATATTCATAAAAAGTATCTCTACGAATGACTCTTATATATACGATATTTTGTTTTAAATTTTTTTTCTAATTTTAATTTACAAATTAAATCTAGCAAATTACATTATTTACACATTTTGAATAATGAATGAATTTTATTTACAAATTATGAAACAATCTTTAATATAGTACATTTTATTTTAGGTTTACCCGTAATATTTCACTTATTTGCTCACAGTGTGCCAGTTGAGGAAAGATCTCGAGCTTTTGGCTATCTTGTTGCCGCTGGATCTGTTGGACAAGTAGTCGCATCAGTTGTAAGATTTACCACACTGTTTAACTATTTAAATAAATAAACTTACAAAATAAGAATGTCTTACATTCCAGCTATGTCCACACTTTTCATGGCAAATTGGATTTTATTTATTTGGATCAATTGGTATTTTATGGACCATTTTATGGTCTGTGCTTTATAAGGAAACTAATTCACAAGAAGAAATTCCAATTTTTTTACCTAAAGTAAGTATATTTGGAAGTTTTTGTAATTTAAAATAGTGTTTATTATAAGTAAAACATATTTATAAATTACTTGTACCGTAGATATCTCAAAATCGAGCTTTACAATGGACTGAATTTATTGCACACTGGCCGCTCTGGTCGTTATACATAGCCCATTTCGCCATGAATTGGAGTAATTATATTATTATGCAATGGTTACCCACATATCTTGCAAGAAACTTATCCGCTAATAAAGAAAGTATAAGTTTAACAGCATTACCTTATATTGTTAATTCGCTTATAGGCATTGGTTGGTAAACTGTACAGTATATTTATAAATTAATATCATAATTATATATATAACCTAATAATGTTTATAATGTTTTGTTTTAATTAGTGGCTGGACACAGTGCTGACAATCTTATACAGAAGAGATGGTCTATACTATCTGTTCGAAGATTAATGACAAATATTGGACTGATTGGTCCCGGAGCATTTTTATTAGCTTTTTGCGCAGTTGATAATTTACTATTAGCAGTAATGTGAGCAATATTGAATTTTATAAGAAAGAATTGTCATAATTTCAATAAGCAGAATCTCATATATACAATACTTTACCACTTTCAGATTTATTTCAATATCTATGGGACTGTGTGCGTGTAACTCCTCTGGTCATCTTAGCAATCATGCTGATGTTGCACCAAATCATGCTGGTATAACATTTGCTATTTCCAATACTATTGTAAGTAATACAATATTTAACAAACTATTACATGGAGAGTTATTTGTCTAGACATAAATATTTTTTAGGCAACAATACCTGGAATTTTGTGCGGACCACTTACAGCTGAATTAGTAACAGCGTCGAATGGTCGATGGATGCCAGTATTTGTTTTAGCAGCAGCAATTAACTTTACCGGGGCTATAATATACCAAAGTCATAGTTCAGCACAGCCAGTATTCGTAAATACAGTTGGATTTGACGATTGATTTATTGATTCTTTAAAAGAGTCTAGTGTTTACTGAACGAACAAAAAAAAAAAAAAAACAAAAAAAAAAAACAAAAAAAAACTTAAAGTGTCTTATAAAAAAATCGAATTTCGACACAAATTATCTTTAATAAAAACATAAAGAAATTTGTTAAGCATATCACGTGAAAGAGATTTAAGTGTTAAAAGTGTTGAGTCTTGGCAAGATCAAATGAAAATTTGATCAAATACTTTAGAGATAAGAAGTGCAATTTTATATCTTAATTTTACAAAAAAAATTTCTACATTCTGTGAGAGAAAAAAAAACAACGTGTACATAATACAAATCGTAACATCCTCAATTACAGTCTTCAAAACCTTAAAGGACTAATTACTATTTTAAGGTGCTATAACTTTTAATGTTGCATTAGTTCCTATCATAATCTATACTTTTTGAAATATATTGAAAATTTAACGTACAATAATTGTAAATTTAAGTTTCTAGAAATTTTTCATTTAATTTCATTGAAGGCTTCTTAATTTTTTAGTAGTATATTTTTGCTGAGTGAGAAAAAAAATACTAATGAGTAAATATATATACAGCATACTTTATTAATCAAAACCACATGATTTTCTCAAATATTTCGAGTTGAATATTTTAGGAAGTATACTATGGATATAAACTGGATATTTATTCATAAAATTAGCTGTAGTAGCTGTATCAGCCTGATTCGAGGCATTACAAATCTTTTTTATCGGTTGAAGGCATTCTGAATTATCGGTTCTCATACATTTGTCCTTGTTACTTAATTGGCCCTCATTGTTTGGTCCATTTAATAGTTGTTTACTATTATTCGTAGCATTGTTATCTTGTATACTCGGACAATCATTTATATTAACTACCATTTTGATTTTATTTTCAGGATTGGAGCTCATCTTTTCCATTTGTTCATTATACTTGTTTTTAATGTTTGATGCATAATTTACCAAACGATTTTTAATTATTTCATTATCCTTTATTACTTTTAAATTACTATAGCTGTCCTTTACGTACTGCTTCATTTCATTATTTTCAATATTATTAGAAAATATGTGTAACGGCTCGTTATAATTTTTATTTTGAGTTATATTGCTACTATCACCTTTATCGTATGTCAATTCAAAAGTATTATTTGCTTTACTAATTGCATTTAAGCTGTCAAATCTATTAATGTTTGATTGATCAAATTCGGTAAAAGAGCGACAAAGAGAATCGACCTGCAGACTTGTCTTATCAAGCGTATCACACAATTTTTTGACATATGAAAAATTGCTGTAACTCTTATTTTTTAAATTTGCCTTATTTTTCACATCTTGCCAATTATACTTTATAGTTTTCAAATCTTTATAAATTAATTTGTTAATTGCCTGTTTTTGTGATTGAATATTTTTCAACTGTTTTTCAATATCCAATAACTGCAAATCTTTGGCTATAAAACTTTCTTGACGTTTCAAAAAATTTGTTTTCATTTTTTTACTTTTAAATTGATTCTGACCAGACTTTTTTTTCAATCCTAAATAACATATAATATAATTTACTTTTTTTCATTTCATACCATGGAAATTGAAATAAAATTTTACTTATTACTTTAAACAATTTTTTACCGTCAACGTAATTATCTGAATTTTTTTGGGCACTGACTAGGTTGCATTCTACATCGCCAAAAATGTAAATATATTTTTGAGTGGCCGAAATCTTCGGAACCCGAAGTGTCATGAGCTTTTTCTCATATTTTTCAATTGAAGCCCTTTCTCGAGACTGTAAAAAATAAATGTATTTGGCTTCTATTTATTATGTCATTTAACAAATATAAGATTGTTTATTAGATATAATGGAATAAAACATAATTAAAATTATTGATATGTATAATATTGTTTGAGCGATTGATAAAATTAGATCATAAGACACCATCAGAGATAATACGTGGTTTTAAAAACATTTTAACGCATTGAAAAAATTTATGTAAAACTAAATATCTATACAATTATAAATATGTAGAAAAAAATAAAATAAACTGTATTATTTTTATAAATTATTATACGAAATTATGTAAAGTATGAATTATATTTATAAACCTTGTGATCTTTGGAACATGCATTTGAGGAATGAATTTTCATAGTCTCCGACATGTTTTGCTTATTCAATTTAACTTCATTGCTATCCTTCCTACTCTTTGATATATTATCTTGTGCTTCCGCTGAAGATTTTTGTTTAATTCTGCATCTAAATCAATATAGATATATATTTAATAAAAATTTATCGAATTAAAAGTGTGTAGTTTATACAAGGTAAAATGCTTTAAATGTTTCATCGTTAACATTAATCAATTTCACATTAACAGTTTCATAATCACATATCTTGGTAATTAAAATCTTATTTATTTTTAACAATCTTTATAAATCTATTTTTGTAAATATTATTTGAATTTAAATTACAAAAAAATGTTTATTTTTATCCAATATTTACTTCTTTGTATCCTTTTTGGATTTATTTTCCTCTTTCGATTGAATTTTTACATCGTCGTTTTTTAGGAAAACAGTAAGAGCATTTATTCTTTTATAATTTTCAATTGAATCGTTAAATTTAATTGAATTTTCAGATCTTCTTGGTTTCGACGTTAAAGACGATTTCTTCCGGTGAAAATTACTTCCACTTGTATCGTTAGCCAGTTTTAAAATTTATTTTATACTATTTTATACTTGACGAAAAGCCGGTTTTATGAATTGCAATAAAACACAAAAATAATTCAGAAGTTGTTCCAAAAAACAACATAACAAAAATTCAAAATGTATGCTATGCACACTTCACATTAAACTAGTTACTATAAATTCAGTTTACTTTAAAACTCCTGTTTTATTTTTAAATATCCCCCCCTCCTCCCTCCCTCCCCCCATTTAATAAATACGCTCACTTCATCCAATAATACAATACATAAATTTATTTACAAATAATAATTTTATGTATTATAGTAGCATTAAGAAGGATATTTTGTAAAATAAATATTTTGTAAAAAAAATTCATTATACATCAAATGAATTAATACTATATTCATATCTTTAAATATTTAATATAATAGTTGATATCATCTTTTTCTTTAATATAATAATTATATATTTTACTCTATGAGGAAAAACTATGAGGGTTAGATATGAGGTAGAAATATCCACTTTATATTTACTCATAAAATAATTATTCAAAATTTGAATAACAATATATAAACATAATATATGATTCAGTCTTTATTGAGAATTAATGTTTTTTACATCAAAAATATTAATTAATATATACATGATTTAATTACACTATGGAGAACATTACAACAAACATTAAGAATAAATTTTATAAGAAAAAAACATATTATAAATCGATTTTTGTAAATTATATCAAGACCTGCTTGATGATTTCACATTTACCAATATTTATACGTATGCATTCACGCACTTTCTGCTGTATTATGTAATTACGTAAGTGATCTAATTATACTAAAACAATTTCAATATTAATTGTCTTCATAAATAAAATTTTATTGACCGATATCAGCGCAAAATATTAACTACTCTATAAAGTCACAGCAATTTTTAATTGTAGAATAAAAGACAAAAAATCGAAGTGTGTTCGTAATTGTAAATGATCGCATTAATGTCTAAAATTCGTAAATAATAATGATTAATAATAATAATAATAATAATAATAATAATAATAATAAATGTACTTATAAATACTGATTCGTTACGAGTTAAAAATTTACAAATTAATCGTAATATTCATAAAAACTAAGACTGCAATATATTTATTTATTTCGTCTAATTTATTTAACTTTCAATAGATATTTAAAATACCTCAATAGATATTTAAATTGCAAGAAAATTTTATCTTTTACAAAAAATCTTTACATCACAATTATAATTATTCTTACTGACTTTGTTCATTTTAATCAATAATATAATATTACAATTTTCAGTATAATCATGTTATGATTTAATCCAGAAATAAGGTTAATGATTCAAAGGATAAATTCATTTTATATTTTTATAAATGTATGATATTTGATTGGAAGACAAAACTTCGTAATATAAACCGATCGTGATTTTCTACAAATGAATATTATTTTACTTTGTGAATATTTGTTAATTATAAATTTTCGAAGTATATCATCTAAACGTTACCAATAATTTCATTCGGATTAAAATTCCATAATTTCATTGGATTTTACATTTGTTTCTACACTGTATTAACATTTTATTATTATTAGACTAAAATTATATAAGTCTTCTGTCATATTGCATCATTAATGCGTAATTATTTTTAAAAATTATATGATGAATAATGACAATTTTATCAAATATGTTTCGAAATCCTAATTATAAAACAATAGAGAATAAAATATAAATTATTAGTATATTATTAATAATAATTGTTCTCTTGAATTAAGTAATGATTAATCTATCAATTTCTCATTTCGTTCCATTATTTATCTTAATACGCTATTACGAATTATGAATTTTGTAATAAATAATGCTAACCTTCTTTATAAAAAAAAAAAATTCTTATCATGCTGTTTGCCATGCATTTTTCATTGCAAGTGTCACATCTAAATAAACTTTCAGTGTGTGTCAACATGATATCGAAATATTAATATGATAGAAATGTATTTGTATTTGAAATTTACAATATAATAATGCACTTAGAAAGATAAAATTAATTTTTTTTAATATTATTGTTGATAACGAATCCGAAGTACACGATATAAAAAATATAAAAGTTTTGATAAATACTTGTATTTTACGTTCATTGAATGTAGCAGTCATAATTGTCGTTGAGCTAAACTTAAGTATAGCAACATTTTAATTTTATAGCAATATAAAACAATATTACCTTCGTTAAAAAATTGAAAAAAAAAAACAAATTGAAACTCTTTTATTTTTATTAACTATATGAAGAATAGCGATTAGAATATATAAAACTGTTGTAACTGTATTGTAAATATTAATTTAAGCTTAAATGTCGGCTTGAATATAGCTTTCTTTTATGAAAATAATTTTTCGGATATCAAAAAATGGAAAAGATATATCTCGTCTAGGAATTAATGATTAATTTTTCTTTTTCATAAAATATCTAAATCGTAATTACATTTAATATAAAAATTACGAGAGCCTTTTTCATGTAAATATTTTGTATCATAGCAAAAGATTAATTTTATTAATTAACCGACAGAATCATCAATTTCATATGATTAATTATATGAAAATATGCAGTGCAAAATACGACAAATATGCAAATCTATTAAAAGGGTGTAAATTATTTTTTCTATTACAATAAAAAATGTTAATAATAATTTTAGAATATATACCGCATGTGTAATAATATGAGCGAGATATGTTTTGAAATGCAATTGCCGATCAATAAAATGTTAATATACTTTTAATTTAATTTAATTTATGCTAGAAATAAAAATTTTCAAAATAAATTTTGAACAATAACGGATTTTATAAATTTTTAAACTATAAAAATCGATCGTCTTCTCGAAATTAAAACTTTCTAAAAGATAAAGTCGAAAATGTTGCATTGGCTTTACAGTGAAACGGACAAGATATAATGGAAAAAAGCCACCTGATCATTTAGCATCAAAATGCTTAATTTTAAATGATTTAAATGCATATGCAAATATGTAGCATAAAAATACAATGCGAAAATATGTAAAGCTAGGCTCTGCAGAACCAAAAAATCATGCTTTTACATTGATACCAAAACTCAAAATTACAATATTTACAATATTATTATCGTTACTTCGCCCTAATTGCTGATTCTTTCATTTGACCATTTATAATTATAATTATACTAACAGTGAGTATTTTGCAATAACAACGATAGATAATGAACTGCAAACGGATGTCTTTTATAATGTTGTAAAAAGCCTATTATCGCATAATCAGAGATAGATAGATAGATAGAGAGAGAGAGAGAGAGAGAGAGAGAGAGAGTGCTATTAATCAAACGAGCAATTCCTCTGGCGAAAAAAAAAAACGTAAATTGCCATCGCCGCTGCGCGTTCAATGGTAATTGCTAAGTATGATAAGGTTTCTTCGACAGTTGGCAAAACCTTTATGCAACGTGGGCTCGGGCGACATCAAAACTTGCCGAGGTTCGTTTTCCTTTGTGCCTACGGTCCCTTACCGTACATTATCCTAACAGTACATTACGTGCCTCTAAAATCTTGCGCCTCCATCCCGGTAACATCATCCATAAGAGCGATAAAAAATATCGTAGAACCAGGCTCACTTCATGCCTGCCTCCTGGGGAAGGACGATCTTCTTGGTGAGGCAGAGATGATTATCGGACTTTTGGCGCTGCTGCTCGGTGAGACACTCGTTCATGAAGCCGCAGACGGTACTTACGTAGACCCTACGGTACGTCGCATAATGTTTGACGTGGGGCGAATCCGTGAATAGAACGAGTTGCGTCCGTACCCCCCGCTCCGCTCGTCTGCTGGCGAACTTCTCCACGTCCTATGTTCAAAATCGCACCAGATCAATTTCATCGTTCAATCGCTACTACCAATCATAATGGCCGATCAGTTTCATATTATTAGAGCTTAAATTATTGAATTATCGATTGCTCATTGTGAAATAATTTATTGAAATTCGATAAATCTATTTGCGCGAGCGACTATCGATAAAGTAGGGATTTTTGACAAGTGAACAGACTTTATATTTATTTTTTTTTTGTTTTTTTGTTTTTTTTTTAACGAAACTACCTTTTATTATTAATTAAAGTTTATAGACCAAAAAACTTTTTTATATAACATTTTCTTTAAAAAATTGTAACCAGCTATATTTTTAATGCCGATAATTAATTGCAGAAAATAAAGCCATTTTTTTCATGCATAGCCGGGATATCGAAAAAAATGTTCTCGAGTTATTCGAATTTTATTTATCGCCTAAATATAATAATCATTATTTAATTGTCGAGAGAAATATTTGGCAGTTTCTCATAAAGGAATGATTTGATAAATTACTAAAATAAATGAGTAGAATTTTCTTAGCCTTTGATGAACTAACAATGTCTAACATAAAATATGAAGACAAGTGAAATGTTAATTAATTGTAACGATAAGATTTCTAATTTCAATATTATTAAAGTAAATGTTTAATCATTAGCAGTGATTCAATTACACATGATTCTACTGTGGCGCTTTTCTGTTTGCGTTTCGTCTATGTGATATTAAAATTAACGTCAAACATACAGCAAACTATAACGGGTTAACTTACATGGGCAGGAATCAGCGTGTCGGCATTGGAATATAAAAAGATTTGTGGCCATGAATAAGTTTCTTCAGCGAGAGCTATTGGATCAGTTTTTATAGTATTTCTTTTACCTACTGTATGAGCCAATATCTGTGTAACATTGTTAAAGTTTATTATTATTTTGAATCTCTTAAAAATTCAATAAATATACGTATTAACTTCTTTTCTTTTCTTTTTTTTTTATTTTTAAAAAGCTACTTCTGATTGATAATGATGATAATAAAATAATACATTGAAAACTTAAGGCTTTGGTGCCGTGAAACTGTTATTATTACATTTGCACACGTGTATTTGTATCATTTACGTTATATTTATATATTTATACGTAAGCACTTACGTACGTACATATGTCATATGAAAAACAAATCTTATTACGACAATTATGTTCAATGTATATATAAAGATTGCTCAATACCTCGAGTAGCCAGATGAATGAAAGAAAAAATGTAATCACAATAGATGCTGATACATTGGTTATTGGATTTCCACCGATAATTGCACTGATAGCCCTAAATAAACTTGTTATTCTTCGCTCTCCCGGCGAACTGTCAAAAATAACTCCTTTCACCTAAGAAATATCGATTCATTTCAATGTTTAAATATATAAATAACGTAATTCATTATGAATATAAGCAAAATAATTGGCTCGGTCGGAAATAAGTGGGGGAGGGATGTGTGTGTGTCGGGAGGGGGGGGGGGCGGCGCTAATTACGATA